GAATAAAAAGTGTCAGAGAAATCTTCATGTAGTATAACAGCTTTCGTCTAAATTAGAGCTAATAGTTTCACAGTATTTAGGCGCCGATTTGATGTAAGACACTAAATAGGAATAATATATTTGTAAAATCTCAGCGAATGAATTTCAGGTAAATCCAACGTTTCGCCTGGAAATCTGGTCCAAGCTTTTTCAAGGAAATATGTTCTTGTAAATTTCTATTTTAAACACCGAAATAATATTGATTTAACTTGGAATCACTTAGAATTTACATAACTTCCGGTTATCATTCCAAGTGATATAAGGTTTATACTTTTTCTTTTTTGATAAAATTTGGAAATTCATCAACATCAGTATGAAAAGTTAAGATATTAGACTTCTTAACAGGATATAATATTTTTTATATAGTTGAGATCATGAGTCAATTGAAGCTAGACCACCATGGAAAACCTGGAAGCACTGGACGGCCATTTCGTCCTGTTGTGCGACTCCTCATACTCTCACTAGTGACTGGCTCCAAGAGATGTTTCCTGGAGTTCTACTAAGAAGCAGTAATTAGTGGAATTCAACCAGGTCTGTTGGGAGACATCAACTCACTGAAGAAATTGGTGAAACGTTGCTCAATTTCGTGGTTTGGTTGAAGTTAGACATTAACACCGTTGGATGCCGGCTCAGTGGTTCCTTGGGTTAAGCGCTCACGCGCTCGACTCTCACGAGGTGGGATCGGGGATTCACACTGCTGAAGGGTCCCACAACAGGACAAAACGGCCGTTCAGTGCTTACAGGTTTTCCATGGTGGTCTAACTTCAATTGACTCATAATTTCAACTATATAAAAAAGTTACTAAGATCTCCACAAAACCCCCTTCTGAAGATATAATATGTTTTTCTTATAAATACCTACTAATCCTACTTAAACTAAATCAAATGGGTTTGTAGCACGGTATTTTTTAAATGAATTAAGAAAACCACTTAATGATTAAAAATAAAATAAAAAAGCATGATGCATTTTAATTACAATAACTGTTTATATTAAATTCTTTCTTTTTCACAATAAATTATTGAAAGCTTTGAAGAATGATAACATTGTTTGTTCTTCAATAAGATGTCGCATAAATATGAGAAATCATGTACATTGGTTTACATATTAATTTATATACAATGAAAATTTGCTTACATTGCCAACTACATATGCTTTTCCTCATTTGTATACATGACTTACTAACTATAGGGTTAATGTTATCATCCATTTATGCTAATGAATATAAATTGAAAGGAAAACTTGTGACTTGTTGGAAGAAAATACTTAATTAAGGCTTTCTTAAGTCGATTAGTTTTATAAATGAAAAAGATGAGATGTATACTTATGGGATGTATACTTATCATATACATACTACCTGTTAATAAACTCTTCATTATGAAAACAGTTTTCGGTCACTTATTGTTCGTTATTTCTTGATTTAATTCAAACTATTGCAAAAACTCAATATAAAATTGTCTGGATCTGAATATGGAAGTAACGATGATTTGTAGAAACGTATTTGGAGAAAAGTCCCAATTATTTGGTGGTATGTTGTACCCTATCTTCTTTAATTAAACACTCTCATTTTGACATATTTCCTTGCTTTCACCTAACTTATCTACTGACTTACATTGGAACTAAATTTAGAAACTGAAAACAGCTAGATAAGCAAGAAGGCGCTGAACGAATGTTTCGCCCTAATTTAAAATACTCCTATAACGATAAAAACAAAGTCAAATTAGACAACCTCTATAAACCACCTTATCTAGATAATAACCACGCTTTGAGGCCGATTCCTGAATTTTTGGTAAGAAGTCATAACTTGTAAAATACAATCATCACAAGGGTAAAACATAGTTTACACCAATAATTTCAATGGTCTATATTAGAAAATGTTAAGATTTAAAAACGTGAATGGATGTGTAGTAAAGTAATGTTTCATAGGTTCTGTGCTTTCCCTAATATATGAATTTTTCGAACTTAGTTTCTGTTGAAGCAATGTTAGTGCACTGTTCATATTTTCTAGTTGATGGAAATATCTTACAAAAACTCAACAATTTTCATAAGCATTATTTATTTATATTTATCCGTACATTTATTATATGATTCACAATTTACCAATTGACTGTAATGATAATTTGCTCTGAATTTTTGCATTTGTTCCATTCATACTACCATATATTCAAATCTTTAACATATTAGATTGACATTTAAGTAGATTAGTTATTTCTTTCTGGTTAATAAAACTACTGTAAAACAATAAAAATATGAAATCATATCAAAGAAATCACTTTTAATGGTACTCTCGTATATATATAGTTACATAGATGAGTAGGTAGGTACGTAGATGAATAGATAAATAGATAGATACTTAGAGTGATGGATAGATAGATGAATAGGTAGGTACGTAGATGAACAGATAGATAGATAGATAGACAGATAGGTAGATAAATAGGTAGATAGATAGATAGAAGTTTTATAATTATCATTTGATTTAGTTGTAACAATTAATCTGAATAGGAAAATTATTCAACTTAAGACAACAGTAAATGAAATTTATTCTATTTTTCCAACATAATTTAAAAGAACATTAAAAAGAAGTTTGTCATCACAATAATAAAAGGAGAATAAGAACAAAGTGCTAAATTATCTGATTTATTGATTGTAATAATACAAATTTCACTGTTCTATTGATGATGCTTTTCAGGTTATCAGTTTCAAGGTAATTTTCATTAAAACGGAATAGAAATTTGATGAAAGCAAATACATGAAATGCAATCAGCAGACTTCCTAAGACAGGAAATAAATAATTGTGAAACAACTGAAATAACATGGGAATTTTTTTTCAGTTTCATTTACGGTCAAGTAATGTGTTTTCAAGTCACAAACATTCTAATGTTTAAGCAGTATATTTTTGATTCACTTCTTTATTATTATCATCATCATCATAAGTCTGAAAACAAATTCAACAACTAAGGGTGAATTCATGAAGTGTTGTGGCTACTTCACTTAGTTTGTAGTATCAGTTTATATGTTAAGCCCATATACTTTATTCTAGTTACTGGCCAAGCCAATCCACCTATACATTGAGTCATATTTTGATCTTGTTAATCATTTGCTTATTAACCTTGACTATACTTTTATATGAGCATATATGTGTACGCTTCGTATTTTATTCATCATATGTCTGTCACTCATTTTTGTCCGACTATAAATGTTGATTAACGCTTGCTTAAATCGAGTTGGCTTCCCAGCCATCTTCAGTACGCATTACCTTTCGCTTCACTCTCGAGTTGGTTTCCCAGCCATCTCCGATACGCATCATCTTTCGCCTCGCTCTCTCGCTCGTTATTATTCGCTCAGGTGTTGCTAACTTTCTGACCTGAGTTATTCGACAATAAACTGTAGTTGCTGCTATCCTTTGTCTTCTGATTTTACGCACCGTTAAGATTAGGATTATAACGGTTATCAAAGTAAACGGTTAACGAATCGCGGCACTACAAGTTCATTTTAAGATCTTTTCAAGCACTAACATTACGGCCAATTACTATTATAACCAACTCTAGAAATACTGAAACCAACATGAGTAAATCAATTAAAACAATATCAAACAATAATTAAAAGTAGTGATGATGTTTATTGATAATGATATATAGCAAGATTAATTACTGAATTCTGTTTTTGAACTTGGAAATAAACAAGTGTCATGTTTATTGGACAAAAATTTATCTTACTTCTTATTGGTCAGAGATTGAAACAAATAGTAAACCACTAAAACCTCTGAAAGTTTGTATCAACAGAACATTCATTCTCCTCATTATTTAAATAACCTACTTGACCGAAAATGAGAATCTTCCACTTGTGCCAATACATGTCATTAAAACTCCTCAGTTTTCTTAAACGCATAAGGTTGCCTTAATTATTTTCCCTAGATATAAAAATCAGTTGAATTTCGAATTTTTTTGATTTGTTGTATTTATAACTCACATTTGTAGAAAAGACTCCAGAAAAGAATTTTCTTTATAGGTTACCACTATTCTGAATATCAAATAACTTCTAGAGGTTAGTTAACTCACTAAGTAATGCATTTATGAATTTTGATATTCGGTCGGAAACGTAAAAAAGTTCTCAAATAAGTAATCAGTTATTAATGAATATACATTTTGGAAAGCAGCATATGCTATTCAACAAAGCTACTAAAGATTCAACAATCTAAAATTACACTTAATCAGTACTATTACATCAAATGAATCTTTATAACTGATTGACAATATTATTTGACTCATATTACTACTTTTTCGGTATGAAGTAGTATAATTCATTTTATAAAATTCAACAGTCTTAAATGTGTAGTAATGATAACAATGTTGTATAAGATGTTGCAAATCTCTCTAAATATAATTTACCTACAAATCCACTTGTATGATAACTAACATTTTATATTTTCTTTAATGCTACTATATGACCGACGATTTAATAGCTTCGATTTATGACCTAAATTCGGACAGAAGTAACTCCTACAAAAGGCTACTTGAAAATTCTTACCTAGGTTATAAATGCACAAACCCCAAATAGTCAAACCTAAAGACTTTCCTCTTATTTCTTTTCACCCTGCGAGTTAAATGAGAGTGAAACTTATAATATTGAATTAATTAACTGATAGTGCTACAAAGTTTCTGTTCATGCAAGATTTTACCGAAACTGATAGATTAACTGCTGCCTAAATGCTAATAACCAACTATAAATTATTAATGAATAAAATCTGATAGAAGTTTTCGGAGTTTATTAAAGCCAATTAGTCAGTTGAATAAACTAACATAATAAAGAACTTATCCGATAATTTTATTGTCAATTTTAGCTGGATGTAGGAATGCTTTACCAACTAAAAAACCTAAAAAATACCTATTCTCACGTATCTTCAAAAAGCCAGTATATCATACTGGTAAATAATGAACTCCTCAACTCCAATGACAATAACAAAGTAATAAACACAAATACGTGAATTTTTATCTAAGCAATAAAAACATGTCATACAGATTGAAGTGAATTCATTTTATTTTAACGGCATTAGGAGTTTAAAAATACAAACTCAGCTTAAAAAACGTTTATTTTGACACATTATTCTATATTACATCACGAAAATTCCCCACATCCAAAAATGTGATAAAAAATGATCACGTTTCTTTTTAAAGGATCCACAATTACATAAGCGAACGTATTCAAATGTTCTTCGCATGAAGGAAACACCATGTTATTTTGTTCATCCTTTAAAGAAATACAAATAACAAGTGGGAACAAGCGAAATGTTAGTAAACAACAGGAATGAAACCCTATTAAAAATGCCACTGCTGTCATACATATCAGTGAATAGTACATGTACTTAAGTACAAAATTATTCAGGTTAAGACGTTTCCGACTGATTATTCATGATTTCAGACTGAAGTCGAACGTGTAGCTCACAGCAGATTATCTCGTTTAAGCTTCAAAAACAATTGTGATTAAACAAAGAACTTCAGTTAACAATCGCCACACATAATCAGTGAACTAATCGGATCGCTTTTCATCACGTAGTCTATGTTTACGATAGATAATATTTCGTTCTCAAAAACGTTAAACTTTAAACAACCGTATTCGTTTCAAGTAACAACCAGATAGTAAACACACTAGACGAAACGTTACAAAAAAGATAAGATATTCAAGCAACATAATGAAACAAATCAAAAAATTACAAACTAAACAAGCAAAACTGATGGATATAAATACAAAAGCATCAACAGGTACTTGTAGATCTATAATACTATCTTTGCCGTTCCTAGTTACCAAAGGGGGGCCAAATGCTTAAGTTACTGCCCAGCATAAAATATTCACCCTGAGCACTCAGAATATTTAAACACAGACTCAAGGAACTGCCCTTGTGATTACGTAAAGGTATAAATTTAAAATGATTACAAATAGAAAGTGGCCCGGATCTCCTTCCTGCATTTTGTGAGTTACAGGCATTCTTAATTGTGTTCCTAACATACAAATTCTTTCATTGTAGAGAATTACCTTATCATGTTCAATCTGTAAAATTAAAAATAATTATAAAACTGATTTCGTCAGTATCAGAAATTTCTACAATTTTTGTCATCCAATTTAGAGCATCTATATAGTCAGAAAAATTGTAGGTATTTACAAACTTTACGAATAATCACAAAATTGTTACCTAATTGTAATCACAACAGTGTACCATTGATGTTCGGTCTCTACCTATTGCATGAATTCAAAACTGCAAACTTAAACTAAAAAAGACCTGTGATGAAATTTTACATGATATTTAAGTCCTAACGTAACCATAACGAACTAACACAACAAATTTTAGTAGGTTAATGTAATTTGTTGAAAACGGCATGCGAGTTATCTACAAAGTACGTATGATGCGTTTACCATGTAATTTTGTGTTGCATGGCTATTGCATCAACATTTTATGCGCAAAGTCTATACGATCGGGACCTACGAGTTCAAAACTGAGCTATAGTTTTATTCAACCGTGGAAAAGGTTGGATGATGTGAAGTAAAATCAACCATAATGATAAAGTTGTATTTAGGATCTATTTTTTTATAAACCCTTAGATAAATTAACACTTTACATCTTACATCTTCTTATGTTCTTTCAAACCAGATCTTTTATGCTACGATGTTTGTTGTGGTTAAAATAAAACTATTTTCTCCTCCTCACTTTATAAAATTTCTTTTTTACTATGTTGAAAACGCAGTTTGACAGTCTAGTCAAAGACAACACTCGTCTCAGGTCCCATATTGATGATTACTAGCTGAATGCTATATACGCACATTTCGTCGTAGTGGTTTTAACTGTAGCTGAAGAATTTATTGCATGTTAGAACTATCACGAAAACAAAAGCTAGCGTTTGTAAATTCCATCTGCTCGTCCCCTTAATATATGATGCCGTGAGTAGTGAAAAGCTACACAATAATTTGCAGATTTCAAAGATGTTAAGGTCTGGATAAGAGTAAACGTACTTTCAAACAACAACATCTTGATGTGCGCAATTAAAAAATACCCGAAAAGAAAGTATTACTGACTCATAAATTTCAGTAAAATACATATGCGACGAGGACAAAAACTTACATAAATGCACTGAAAGCATTCTTGACTGTCTTTTTTAAGTCATGATGTTAGTCGTGTAAAAGTAACTTAATCAACAACAATTGAGCGCTCAAAGGCATATTTTAAAAAATTAAGCTTGGTAATTCACTTACATACACTCGAACTTCGTAAACATAGGAGACAATTTCAATTGCTTTTGAATCAGGATTCTTCTGAACACTGAAACCAAAGCATTACAATTACATAGCAATATACCATATTAGATCACGATAGATTTTGCGTACGGTATCGATGTATGGCTTAATCTCATCTTCTTGCTGACATATTTCACCTCCAATACAAATGTGTTTGAACATGCGAAAAAGAAACTCTTCCCTCTCTTTTTCGGTAAAAATAGAGTAACTATCTGAATCTTCAAGTAACAAACACTGTAAGTTGATAAAAACAACTGGTACTTGCCTCTCTTAATTTATCAGAAATAAGGATTGATTCGAAAACATCGTCCAACCTTGTCTTAATTTTTCCGCACTCATGTGTCACACTTGAAAGTTTTCGAAATACATCCAAGTTAGTGAGCGTACATCTTACGCTCTTAATTTTAACAATACTAGGCAAAATATTAATGTATTTATAATGGAGAAATGAAGGGTCACGTGAAACTACTTACGTTTTAGTATAGGGGATAGTGAGTGCATTTTGTACGGAAAGTGAATTGAAAAACCCCTAATTAATTTTTCTTTGGAACTAATTTATCTTTTACGTACTGTGAAAAATGAATCAGATTTATATGGTACAAACATGTGGTCAAAAGTGAATGTAGCAACGTTCAACCTGCCTTTCATGGACCTAAAATAGGACGACGTTTATCAATGTGACAATTTACCATTTAATAAAGTATTCATTTACTTGCTTATCGGATAGAAACGGATATTCTCTTCCAGGTATAATGAGGAAACCTTCATTCGCTTGCTCCATTGACAACAAATATTTATATTTTTAGCACGTTTGTAAAAATAGTTGTAGACGAGTTTAAACAAATTACGCGAATAACAGTGGACTAGGTGAAAGAAACCTCCGCATAAAGAACTTATACGTCAAGTTGTAACTGGCATACAGTGACCTCAAGTAATTGGTCAGGTGTCTGAGACAAGTAACAAATATATGGCCATATTAGTAAATTAGTATGATATACTGATCTCAATCCTGTGGAATCCAAAATCAGGCCGTCATCAGGTATAAAGGAATCAATAATTCACACAAACATCACATACAAATCAGTCTGTACGCTTCAATTTAGTATCTATCGGCGTGATATTACTGAGAAAGCAAGTATAACCGGCCTTATCGATAGCTTTGTTTCAGTTATAGTATGTTATGTCCACTGATCAACAATGATCAAGAGTGGTGTTCCATATATCCATCTCAGTATATCTGTTGCTCAAGATTGATTCCCCTCATAACCTTGTTGTCAGAGGCAGGCAAAATTTTATTGACATTCCATTATAGAAAGAATTATCTGTCTGTATCCAGGACTTTCGTTGCTTCCTCCCGATAACGTGTACTTAAGTCACACAGGTTACAGGATTTCGGAAGAGTCAGGCTCCATAACCCATCAGTCATTATGAAACAGCTTTAGGAATTTTTAAACCACTTATAACATAACTAGATGTATTAAATTAGGCCAGAATTACCTGGCAAGGGAGCTGACAACCTCGCTGAGTGCTATGTACAATTACGGGACCCTCGTTTGGAATTTTGAGTTTGAGAAGTATGTCATAGTAGAGACTCAATGTGTTTTGTTGTCCAATAAGTGTTATTGTGAATATTGTGACTCAAATGTGTTCAGATATATTTGTTTAACCTAAGGCTATAATTTGAACAGTGAATATTCTGGTCTCACAATGTTTTGTCACGGAATATCACAAATTTCGCCTTGGAACGGAAACTTTTCGTGAATGTATTTAAATACAGATCGTGGATGCGGTCGGCTGTCATTGATGGTATTGATTAAAAACACGATTGTTTCATTATATTTCAATTCACTGGTTCAGCGATCATTGCTTGTCCCTGCGAAGACTGTTCGCCTGCAAGAGGTACTGGATAACCATACAGAGTGTGGAATAAACAAAAAATGTTGATTTAATTATAACCATTCTACACGGTTTCCAGCACTTCTGAAGATCAAGTTTTGGCCTTACACTACATAGGTTCATAGATAGTAAGATTATTCGGTCTTCTAAACACATCTAAGTAAAATGACTCTGGGCAAACCTACAATTCAATGAAATATTCAGAAACTTACTGTTAAACATGATAATTTTTATTATCATTATTATTATTATTATTAATGGCTTTATTCAATATTATAATCTGGTACAATATAGAATTCTCAGCACAAGTTATTTCAACAAGTTTTTTTACCAAAAAAACCCAAAAAACAAACAAAAAAGACAGAACAGAAATAAAATTAAAAAAAGGTTTAGGAAAATCTGAGTTTATACAAATTATCGAATTTGAGACATGCTTAAGAAGACAGGTTATTTACTAGGTCAACTCTAACAGCCTGTTCGTCGCAAAGTAAATTTGCTAAGTAAGGTATTACAGAAATTTTATAGACTTGCTTGCGTGTATGGGTTTTAATGTATTTACGTCTCGTTCTACCAGAAGATATACAAGGAGAAAGATATGAATGAAGCGGATGGTTAGTATCTGATAAGATAACACCTACCAAGAGTTTGCAACACTTAAGTTGTCTATCCACAAGCATATTAGTAATGACTTCAAAAGATTCACCACATACCTTGCAAACTGCCTTCAGCACTCTACGCAAAATAGCAAAGTCTTTTCTCAAAAGCCCAGGAAATAATAATGGAGAACAATATAGAATATAAGGTAATATGCAGGAATTTGCAAATTGTAAGAGTATATGGCGAGTAATCCCAAAAGCATGCAGCCTCTTTATGTAGTATGTCAATCGGTAAACTTTTTTCGATAAGAGTAAAACATGAGAAGACGAAGAAAGATCAGAAGAAAAAATGACACCAAGATATTTGACCTTCGACACTGTGTTTATTTAGGAGTCTCCAATGGCACAAGCATTATGTGATCCCAAAATAAAGTGTAGGTTCTCTCTATGTCTCAAGCTAAAATTAACAGCTTCTGGCTGTAAATAATTCCCCAAAATCAATAGCTCATTAAGTGTTCGACATTGGATGCTGACCACGTTGTTTAAGTGGACTTGTTTAGCTGAAAGCTTTCGGTCATGCATCCGTACCAGATCACCTTTCAACACGGCGTGGGACACAGCTCCTAGTGCTTCATTAGCCAGCTTATAGAAAAGGTCCTCGATATATTGGTAACGAATCAAATATATCTTTCCTGCCTCTTCTCATCTGACTTCTGATTTCTATCTGACTGGGAACGATCGAACATAGAAGGTGCTACTGGTAACTAGTTGTAGAACTAGAACATCCGTTGCATCCTTCAAGCTTGACAATTAGATGGATTGAGTAAGAGACCATTACCAACTGACCACCTTTAAATACGAGATAGAAACTCGTCCATTTCTATGGGATGTAAGGAGGTAGAAATCGGCGTACATACAGTGAGGTCGTACGCATATTTTACAAAAGTGTTTTCTGTGGAAGATGGCAGATCGTGCAGAAAAAAAAGAGAAGAGCAAAGGTGAAAGAACAGCTCCTTGTGGCACACCTACATTAGGCAGTAGAGATGTTGAACACTTTCCTTCAAATAAAGTGTACTGTTCTCTTACAGAAAGGTAGGAACGTAGCCAATTGATTATCCATCTGTCAGTGTCGATGCTGATCAGCTTTTTAAGTAAGAGGTGTCTTGGAATAGAATCAAAAGCAGAAGTAAAGTTCAGGAAAGCGCATCTAACATACTTCTTACCCTTTTCCAACCCGAACACTATATTGTGATGCAGAACAGCAACGGCATCTAATGTAGGATTTATTTTGTTCTACAGATATACTATTAAAACTGTAAACGCGATACTGGCGATCCCAGAGTCTATGTGAAAGCTATAGTCAGAACAAGGACAACTTGGCTTTAAACTTTATCTGTTTCTAAACATAAAAACAATTAGATTATTACAATAATTAAAGAATTACAGTCATTAAGTGAAACGCACAAACATACCGACCAGTATTGCGTGTCTTAATAAAATGAATAAAATTTATGAGTCACACTAATATAATAGGATAATAATGTCTTTCAATTGGTAAGTCACATGCAACAGGGATAGTTTACAGACATATCAAATCAGATTGACGTGGTGGGAGCTTAAGCAACGATTTGATTAGTTAGTTATGGACATAACTAACATCTAATGTGCTTCTTTTGCATTTGTAAGCAAACTGAAATGGATCACAGTGCTATTTTATTGCAGGTTGAAGTGGTTGTATCAGTAATTTTTCCATTATTTTAAGGAAGAATGAAGTTATTTCTATGGGTCTAAGTTTATCATTTTTATCACCAGAAGCTTTCTTTGGTATAGAGATTATCTTTGTCTTTCTCCACATTTTCGGTAAGACATTAGTTGAGAAGGATCTGTTAAAGATATTCGTTAATGGATAACATAAAACATCAGCACATTTTTAAAAATGAGGTTTGGAATACCATCAGGTCCTAAACATTGAGATGAATTCAGAGACTGCAGACATTTCCGAACATCATTTTCAGTGAAACTGGGGACAAAATTATTCTTCAAACCCTTGGATATAGGGAGCATGATGTCAGTTGACTGACGTATAAAGGACTTATTTAAGTCACAAACAAACTTCTAGTCTGCCTGTCCCCTGTAATTTCTTTAAAGAGTTTCCACATACTTGGAGAGCTTCTACAAGATAGGAGTTTTTGAGTAAACACAGAGTTCAGACGTCTATACTCTTGGTTTATTTGATCATTTAACTTACGAACTTCAATAGTATTTTTCTCCTTGTACATCCTTTCTTTTACCCTCCGTAGTCGTTTTAGTCGTGGAGATGTAAGTCGATCAAAACTTAAAAAGAAGGTTTCGGTAGGACAGCAAATATCAAAACAGAACTTAAGATAACAGGTGATAACATCCGTTGTGTTTTCTATTGAGTCATCTGTAAGTACTTCCCAGTTGGTTGTACAAAACATGTTTTTCAGATTTTGTATTTTTTTCTGATGAGTAACTCCTATATATTACTTTTTTGGTATGGTGTATGTGTGTACTCTTTCCATGTTTACCATATACTTTAAGTAGGACACGAATTATACAGTGATCCGAGCTAGACAATGGAGCACGTTTGCGAGTCACATCATTATTGAAAACCAAGTCTAGATGAGCATTCAAACGAGTAGGAAAATCTGCTACATTTAGGCGACCTAGTGATGTAAGGAAGCTACAGTCACATGAATTGAAATCACCACATACAATTGAAAGTGAATCACTGAAGGCAGTAACGGCGAATTCAGTAAATTTATCAGCGAAGACAGATAGCGCAGATGATGAGCAGTCTGGAGTCATGTAGATATTGGTAACATAAATATATTTGTATTTATTTAGATGTTTTGGACGGCCCCTTAAAGTTAGACAGTCAATAAAGTCGTTTTAAAATTTGAAACAGGCAAAAGTAGATCGACACCAGTTAACGTTTACAAAAGTAGCTACTCCGCCACCATAAGTCTTTTTATTGTTTGATCGATATTAAAATCACGTAATGACACTAAGTAATCATCCTGTAAGTCAGTTAACCAAGATTCTTGAATTGTGATGACACCACAATTACGATACATATTTTGACTTAGCAGAAATTGGAGATAGTCCACCTTGTTAATTAGAGATCGACAGTTAGAGTTAAGCAGCTCGGGAATCGACATTTGATTGATGTTCATTCTCTTTAATGCATATTGCCAACCACCACGATGTCTCTTATTTTACTTGTTTGTAATTTTTGCAGAGAAAGGACGTAAGCTTTTCATAAACGCGCCTGTATAGGTTATGCGATTAATAGACATAATGATAAGTTAAAACGAAATTAAAAAACCCAGATAGCTTGTTGAAATATTTAGATGGCAGAAACAGGTAGCCCAGGTATTCAAGCAGGCCGCTGAGCCAAACGATTCGATCAAGTAGCATATGTGAAAAACCCTGATAACGTTTACTTTTGTTTTAATTTTTTAGCAAAAAGCCTTGATTGTTTTACTCGTCTAATATTTCACCTTCAAACCAAAAAGCCTCGTTGCTTCATTCAATTAAGCTTTCTCCATCATCAAAATATCTGAGTCATTTGGATCACCTTTTATGCAACACTAAACCTCATCAACCTTTGTCAATGCCTAAAGTCAACACTTTCAATCCTCTCACTGATTTTGACAGTGAATTTGCTTGTTGATCATAACTTTTGTCTTTATATTTTAATAAAACCAAAATTAAAAGTGTGGATAATACATTTTAACGGCTAATAGCATCATTTATGGCATCGGTTATTCGAAAAAAACTTGTTGTTGTTGGAGATGGTGCGTGCGGAAAAACTTGTCTTCTGACCGTTTTTTGCAAAGGAGAATTCCCTAGTTTATATGTTCCGACGATTTTTGAAAGTTTTGTTTCAGAGATGCAGATTAATAATAAACGTGTAAATAATTTGTTAACAAACTAATTGAAACAGGTTGAACTTAATTTGTGGGATACAGCCGGGCAAGAAGATTATGACCGATTACGTCCACTTTCTTATCCTGACACAAATGTCGTCGTGCTTTGTTTCAGTGTGGACAATCCTGACAGTTTGGACAATATCAGCACAAAGTGGATGCCTGAAGTATTAAAGCTTAGAATTTTCTCTACTATACCTAGATCAGGAATTTTTTGCCAAATATCCCTGTAATACTTGTTGCAAACAAAAAAGATTTAAGAAATGATCAAACAACAAAAAGAGAACTTCAAAGGATGAAACAAAACCCTGTGACAGAATCCGAGGGAAGGAGTGTGGCGAAAAATATAGGTGCACAGGCATATATCGAATGTTCAGGTAACTTTATTTGCTGTGATGCATCTTTTGCAGCTAAGCAAAAAGAAGGCGTCAATGATGTATTTGAAACTGCTGCTAGAATAGCTACAGATTTCAAAGCAAAAAAACGCACGTGTACAATTACATGATATTGAATTTTATTCGCAATAATAAACAACATAGATATTCATCGTTGTCTTATCTCTTACACTTCGTTTTGCATTCACCGGCTAATAATTATTACTTCTTCAAGAACTTATGTTCATGTGTTTTATGTGTAACGATGTAACTCAAACATGTGAATAAACTTTTTCAGTCAAAATAACTAAATTTTGTGCTTTCTGGCAGTACTTTAACATTCTCTCGTTGATATTTCCTTAATCATGTGCAGGCTTTTATTGATGTACACCTAAATATCCACCCATATGTTTGAAAACTTTAATGTACAAATTCTTGCTTGGCTTTTGTAGCTCATTGTCATTGGCACAGATTCTTCAAGGTGCTTTAAGAGTAGAGTCTTCAAAATTTGCCGTGTTGCATTTCTTCGATAGATCATTTATTATAATAACATATGTACATATCGTTAGCACAAACTTCACTTTTATTTAACTTTTTGATGGGGATGGTTTTTTAAGTCTTAAATGAATAATTCTTTGTTCAATCAGGGCTGAAAGCTTTTTTATGTTCAGTGAGTGGGAAACGTTGTACGATGTTCTTTCAGTCGTAGTACCATTTATCCGAATAATAATTTTGAGCATAGTTAAACAATTTATTAAAGGCAAAAACCATATGCACAACTAGGTAATAAGTTAGAGTGATATAGCAAGTTAATCAGGATTAAAATTACTACTGTTTTTTACAGCATCATTTAATGATGTAATGACTGTCCGTATAACAGCTGTTGATCCTTACGGAATTACAAATGGTAGTTTGGAAGTAAATTATAATTAATATAGATGTTTGCATAATGTGAGCTAGTTCAGGATACCCTACTGCAGCAAGGTAACTAAATGAAAACATAAAAGGAAACAGAAAGAAAGTTTAAATAATTGTAGTAGCAAAGTCGATGAAAAATACTAAATATAGAGGATATGGTTTGATAAAACAGACCAGAAAATTGTGTGCTGATGAACATTAAAACCAAAAATCTAGAGGAAACTAAAAAATAGACCTAACTGCTTTGGTGTGGTTAATTTTGAGATATGTCATCATCATCTCGTAAATGAATGTGGTGATTGCATGAAACTCAAGTCAGTTTGAGACTTGGTATGTTGAATTGAACGACTGTTTATCATGTAAAAATTCAAGGGATCATGAAAACACACAGTTTCAATTAAATCTTTGTGGATTTTCCATCTGTTTACCCAACATACCATTAAAATGTTTCGTTTAGTAATAAGAATAACACAGTTTAGAACTAATTTATGGAAGAAACATTCCTACCACTCATGTACCTAATGATATTGTTAGACCTGATATCAATGAAACAACATGTATATTTTATATCTCAGCACGTATGAGCCTTCTAAGTACTTATTGTTGACTTAACTAGATTATAATGGTTCTTTCTATAATAACTGTGGGAAGTTTAGGAGGTTCTAAAATTCTTTAAAGGTCAAATTAAAGAACTGAAAAATGAAGATGAAGTTTAGCTACTTTGTAAACAAGTCTTTACAGCATTTCACTAGAAATAAATTAGTTCGTGTCTGCTCAAACTACTCACGCTCTTAGATCTTACTTTCACTGTGTTACAGAGAAACATTCTCAGTCTACTCAGTAATGATCTGGATAGAAGCAAAACTGAAAGTTTGTGGAATAGGCTTTAAAAACAAACATCATGACCACATGGCCACTTGGTAATGAGACTCAATTAGTAACCTGTTAAAACTTTTTAAACAAAGAGCTCTAAGGCCCAGAAAAGTTTATTTTATGTACTTGGTCTTATTGAAATTCAGTCAATCTTTATTTTAGCAACATATAAACAAAGAGGCTTTTGTAACAGTAGAAGGCCTTCACAAGTAACTTAGTGGCATTTTTCATATGGGGAATTTACATCTGTTCTGCTTATTACCTACTTGAAGAATATTGATCAAAGTGTAGTAATCGTTACTTATTTACGTTAGGACAATCTACATCAGGCTTACTTCTTATGTGAGTCGGAACTGGTTTGAAAATATATGTTACTCATGTTTAGTACCTTATGGGTATGTAAATTAATAATTTGTGAAGTAAATTTCGTGGATGTTATCAAAATCATCTTAATGAAAGATATAAGAACAATACATGAAGACACTCTAGTCACCTTAGACTTCAATGATATAAAAAATCAAACTTGGTGTATAAGCTGAAAATTAAAAAAAGTAGTGTTTCAGATCACACGACATCATAGCAAAACGCTGTCTAGATAGTAAATATGTATTTCTCTAATGACGAAAATGTCTCATAAATGCGGTATCAAATTAAGAGTCAAGAAACAAGACCCCTACGAAGTCGTTTAGAAGAGCTTAGATACTTCCAACTTGATGATAAACATAGGTTTTTTCCATACTTGAGACATTTTGGAATGAGTTAACTAGATAATGTATAATAGTCAGAACAGATAAGTATACAATGAAAACTCTCCTGCTGTATAATAGTGACACTTAAACAGAATAAAATGGTTGCGTCATATATTTCATTTGACTTGTCTATGATAATAAAATGGTAAAATGAATGCTTGATAATCACATATTCGTCTACTTGATTTTTGCTTTCAGCTTTGTCCTCAGATTATAATATGCAACTATTCCTATTCTTCACTCTCTGACAAACGAATTATAATCAGCGTAAGAGCATTCACCTATTGTTAAAATGTATCGGATTTCTAATTTGTTGAGGTTAAGTTAGCGCTAATAAGGTTCATGTCATTTTTAGATAGGATTTTTCAAACATATATTTATATACACTTAGTATTGCTTGTTTGAATCTTCCCATCGATGTGTTCAGACTGCAACTGGTCAGCGGCCGAGTGGATAACGCGATGGCGTTTGAAGCGAGGGTTACTGGGTTCGAGTCCCAGAGTCAACATCAACTCTGAGATGCAGGTACATCCAGCTGACGAGTCTCGAATAGGACGAAACGCGCGTCCTGGATTCCACTGCTAGCCACTATCTATCTTTGCTTATATATTCATGTTATTATCTTTAAAGACGCATAGTATCAAAAGTGAAAAATGAAATCGGCATTCCTTAGATTGGAGATTAAAAACTGAATTTAAAATTAAGTATTCATGTAAAATAAAACCAAGATGAATACAAACGAAAGTCAGGATCTTATGTTTGGTATAAGAGTGAGTTTTGGAATTCAATGCCTAAAATAGAAAGCAGTTTACTTTAAATGATCTGGCATAACGTAAGGATATGTAAACGCCATTAGGTATTTAGTATATGTTTATCTTACAGCTCAAGTACTTTAATAATGAAATTAGTTATAATAATGTTTCATAAAGAGTATTTTTCAAATGCTCAAATGTTTAAGAATAATGAACAGAAAACGAATCACGCTTACCACACTATTCTATGGATACAATGGTTTAAGTTGAGCCTTAGAAACAATCTCGTTTTTCTATAAGATAAAAATTATTTATTCAAAGGAACGACTTACCGAAAACAATATAGACCTTAATCATTATAAATCAACTACTACTTGTTATTGATATACCCCTTATCAAAACCATTGTAAATAAAATAATCTTTTATTGATTAATTTTGCATCACAACATGAAATAATTACTTTGGTAAAAGGTATTCAAATCATGTGATGAATGTAACAGCATACTTTAGTAATTATTTTAAAAGAGAACATATGATTCAAATGAAGTCTAAATATAAAAATAACATTTTTAGGGGTATAAAACTCACTAATGTAACCTTTTCATTTAAATTACAATTAATGAAGGAATTACCAGTTACCTACCATAAATCCTTAATTTATTTAATATTTAAGAAAATATTATCTCAGTTAAACGAAAGGAATTGAATAATGTGAAAATTAAATCTTTTTTGTTAACAAAAATTTAAAGTTTGAAGTTTTACAGTAAATTCTTTTTTCTTAAATTAACAAACATAAATTCATTCAAGATTTGAATTTATCTTAGAGATAAAGAAAAAATAGAACGACACTATACTGTCGTTCAATTTTGTTTAAACTAGATAATAGAAAAACTTCCATAATATGGCTCTTTAAAGTAGAAAAATAAGTCAATTTTTGTATCCAATTCTTGTTCCCCAATTAAAAAACAAACAAACTAAGAATATCAGAAGGGGGTTTTATAGAGATTTTAGTAATTTTATAAAGTTAAGATCATGAGTCAATTGAAGCTAGACCACCATGGAAAACCTGGATCCACTGGACAGCCGTTTCGTCCTATTGTGGGTTTCTTCAGGAGTGTACATTCACGATATATATATATATATATATATATATGACTTTTACGAAGCTTATACTTACTAATAAGGTTTAAACTCATATAAATCATTGTAACAATTTAAAAAGGTTACCACTGGGCAAATAATCTTCTGCAAAACGAGTGGTTATGTTGAAACTTTACTAATGAGATTCGATCAGCAATAATAAGTCATTACGCAACATTCCCCGTTGTTTGAAAATACTAGAAATAGTATTTATACCTTGAGACTAGATTAGTCAACTAAAGAAAACTTTGAGTGATTCAATTTAGCCAATCTATAGATTCATCAAGACATGATAGATGGTGTCTATTAGAAATTATTTACATCAATCTACCAGTTTATAATTTCAGTTCCAACCTTTAGGAACAACCATCTCTCAAAACAGTAAATTTGCTAATTTCAGTAACATATTAAAGTAGTAGGACAATAATCGATCAATCTCTGGAATATGTCAATAAACTATTTTAACTTTTGAATAACACTTTAGTTACTATTTTCAACTTATATGAAGTCTGAGTACCCAAATAGTTACTGATACAGACCAATAGGTTATTCATATATGTTCACCTATATCACAAACCCAGGTATTCCATTAGCTACATCCTTTATGCGAAGTTCTTTGATCAATTATTGTTTACTTTAATCTCTCCAAGGATATGATCAAATTTTAAAAAAATTGACAAATCTTTTGCCAAATGAAG